TGAGGTTTCAGTCTTGCAGATTACACAGGAAGATTGTGCCTCTACCGGTGTAATTGGTGGAGCTCCATTGTCAATGTGACAGTCATCTGCTCTGTGTCAGGGGCTCTGTGCACTCTGGATAAGTATTGTGAACAGTTGGCAAAGTAACAGAGATGCTCTGCTGGTTTTACAGGGCTATTGTTATAGCATGTATTTATTAGCCTGTATTTATAACTGTTAAGTTGGGTGTAAAAAAATTATTATTGGGTGTATAAAAATATTAGATTATTTACCATAACTCAACGTATACAGTGCGCAGAAGCACTGATTTAAGGAAGAAAACCAAAGACATGCAAACAGATAAATGGGAAGTGTGCAATTAAAGGCTTTAATGTTAAAATCAAATGCAAATTGACCACTGACAAATTAAAATAAAAAAAAGCATGTACACTCCCAGAATGGATGCCTCTCTGTGTTCACAATTGTAGTCCTTGCTAACAGTGCTGTCAGATGGAGGCTTGTCAAAGAAGGAGCCCACTGCTCCACCCGCATGTGGCACCATCAAGGAGATCCCATACAACACCCTGTGACTGTGTACAGAGCTCTAGACTATCCTCCAGTTGCAGCTACTGTTTCATCTGACAGCACTGTTATCAAGGCCTACAAGTGTGAACACAGAGAGGAGTCCATGCTTGGAGTGTTGAGTACATGCTTTTTCTATTTTAATTTTGTGAGTGGCCAATTTGCATTTGATTTTAACATTAAAGCCTTTAACTCTACTGTGCTTTTTGTGCTTATTTTTGTTTGTTTGTTTGTTTGTTTGTTTGTAGATTACCCCAATCTTGTCAGGAGCAGCACCAAAGGCAACAAGAGGTGTTTTTTTACTCTTGATGATTCCAATGCCTGGACTAAGGATTTGTGGTTTAATCAACTTATGGACATGAACTGTTTCTTTCTGATGGACTTGATTTTTTGTTTACATTCCACAAGTTTTAATTTACATTTTTATAGTCACAAGTAGAGATGAGCGAATCGAACCTGGCGAAGTGGAATTCGTTTAGAATATCACGAAAAATTTGATTCGCATCGAATCCGAATTTTAGCAAACTTCGGGTGCACGAATCGAATTTTTCCCCGATCAGCCGGCAAAAGTGTCACTGCAGAGAGCTCCGCTATTTCTGACAGTTCATTTACAGCGGTTGAAACACTGTATCTATTTGTTTCCATTTAGGATACAGATGTTTTTATTTGGAAATAAATAGATACAATGTTTCAACCGCTGTAAATGTGAAGGAACTGTCAGAGAACTGTCAGAAATAGCGGAGCTCTCTGCAGATACACTTTTTGCTGTACTGGAATACTTCTTCTTTTCATTCTTCTTCTTCTTTTCATTCTTCTTCTTCTTCTTTTCATTCTTCTTTTCATTCTCCTTCTTTTCATTCTTCTTTTCATTCTTCTTCTTCTTCTTTTCATTCTTCTTCTTCTTCTTTTCATTCTTCTTTTCATTCTTCTTCTTCTTTTCATTCTTCTTCTTCTTCTTTTCATTCTTCTTCTTCTTCTTTTCATTCTTCTTTTCATTCTTCTTCTTTTCATTCTTCTTCTTCTTCTTTTCATTCTTCTTTTCATTCTTCTTCTTCTTCTTTTCATTCTTCTTCTTCTTCTTTTCATTCTTCTTTTCATTCTTCTTCTTCTTCTTTTCATTCTTCATTCTTCTTCTTCTTTTCATTCTTCTTCTTCTTCTTTTCATTCTTCTTTTCATTCTTCTTTTCATTCTTCTTCTCATTCTTCTTTTCATTCTTCTTCTTCTTCTTTTCATTCTTCTTCTTCGTTTCATTCTTCTTCTTCTTCTTTTCATTCTTCTTCTTCTTTTCATTCTTCTTTTCATTCTTCCTCTTCTTCTTTTCATTCTTCTTTTCATTCTTCTTCTTTCATTCTTCTTCTTCTTTTCATTCTTCTTTTCATTCTTCTCATTCTTCTTTTCATTCTTCTTCTCGTTCTTCTTTTCATTCTTCTTCTTCTTCTTTTCATTTCTTCTTTTCATTTTTCTCATTCTTCTTTTCATTCTTCTTTTCATTCTTCTTCTCATTCTTCTTTTCATTCTTCTTCTTCTTTTCATTCTTCTTCTTCTTTTCATTCTTCTTCTTCTTCTTTTTCATTCTTCTTTTCATTCTTCTTCTTCTTCTTTTCATTCTTCTTCTTTTCATTCTTCTTTTCATTCTTCTCATTCTTCTTTTCATTCTTCTTTTCATTCTTCTTCTCATTCTTCTTTTCATTCTTCTTCTTCTTCTTTTCATTCTTCTTCTTCTTCTTCTTTTCATTCTTCTTTTCATTCTTCTTCTTTTCATTCTTCTTCTTCTTCTTTTCATTCTTCTTCTTCTTCTTTTCATTCTTCTTTTCATTCTTCTTCTTCTTCTTCTTCTTCGTCGTGCCCCGTGACTGCCCAAATGAGTGAAGTGTGCGGTGATTCTAAGGTCGACGGCACTCATCTGCATGTCATACTGACTGACAGTATTATTTCTCTTCCCCAGCAGACTCCAAGGGCATTTAAATTAAAGGTACATTGTTCTGCACTAATATAAAGGCTCTCTGAAGCCTAGAAACCCTTTTATAAGTTAAATTCGCGGCGAATAAATTCGCATCGAATCGAATTTCTCCCGCAAATTCGGCGAATCAGCCGAATCGAATTTTTTAATAATTCGCTCATCTCTAGTCACAAGCATTTTGAGTACACTAAAAAAAGTTTTTTGTGGTTGTGTTTTTATAACATGTACATGAAAGGCAAAAATAATAAATGCAAGTCTGAAAAACAACATTCTAAAACTTATCATAGACAAGAAAGCAGGGTGGATAAAAATCAATGATTTTTAAAAAAAAAAAAAATCAAATAAATCGTTTTTTTTTTTTAATTTAAATTGGATTTTTTTTATTTAAGTCGGATTTTTTAAAAAAAATGCTTTTTGAGGAAAATATATTACCATCCAAAGGTTATTCCATCATGAAATAAAGATTAGTTTTTTATTTATGTAGAATAAGGCTGTATATGTTTAATTTGTTTGGTAAATAAATTCCATTAATCCATTCACAATGTCATGCTCTTCCAGAGGTTTTTGTAAGATTATTGGGCAGTTTCTCTGCCTACAAGATATTATCACAGATGCTTATGCTTAGTTTACTTTTGCAGTTCTCAAAACTGAATTTGACTCAGCGGAGATCACATGTCTCTTCTTCACAGCAAAAATGTTATAACATGAACAGAGTTAAGAAAAATACCTTAATCCTAACTTCTACAAACCTATGAATACAGAATCAACCCCTTCAATGCTAAGTTTCAAGAAGTTCAGTGAATAGAATAGAAACAATATTTTTCTGATTGTTTGGAGTGGAATAGATCTGCACAAGAAGAAAGTGAAACTAAGTGTGAGGAGGAAGGGGCTGATAGTCTAAGTTTTTTAAAATATATATATTTTGTTTAGCCAAATTAGTTAACAAACATGGATGTTTGTTTAAGCAAATAAAATATGCTGTAATGGTATTGTTTCAGTTGAATAAATCTATTTAAATTATTATTAAGGTAATGATTATTTTTCTCCTTCCTAAGTACAACAGAAAAGTTGTCCAAATATGAATGATTAACCTATTAAAACTGGGGATAAAAAAAACTAATATGAAAAGTTGTTATTCTAAAAATCTTCATCTACTTGCATATTAAAGTTATACCAGCAAGAATTAGTCTTTATGTAGAAAAACTATGATTTAAATCAAGCCTTACTGACTAGTGATTTAAATTATGATTTAAATCAGTTTGATTTAAATCAAATCCACTCTGCAAGAAAGGTATGACTTGGCAGTTAACCTGTTGAAGCACAACTAGCTCCCTCAACTGTTGCTTATGAATATCAGTGTCAAGAGATTTTTTTTCATTGTAATATCCAGTCAAATGATCATTCACACAAACTCAATTTAAAAAACAGTAAATAATGTCTCAGTCGAATATACGATTTGTAATTCATAAAACTTTAACAAAAGGATAAGGATCTTTATTTTAGGTATATGACTGGATTTTCAAATGTCATTGGCCCCCCAAACAACTTTCACTTTTAAAGATCTTCATCCTTATTAGTTTATGTTTTATGTGTGTTTTATGAATTAATAGTATTGTATAAGACTAACTCTACTGCCTACACACATTTCAAAGTATAACTAAAGTCAAAACCTTTTGTTTTGTTTTGTTTGCCATTATCAATGAAAGTGATAGTAAAATATAATCCTACATGTTGGGTTGTCTCCAGAACAGGATTAGTGGAGATATCTTCCAAACAGGACAATAGTTTTGGTGACCCTGGTGAGAACCAGGATTCCCTTGCTTTAGAGGGATGTTCTCTCACTTCCTTGTTTGGCTATGGGACAGAAAGTAAAAAGAAATCTCCCCAATGGGACACAGATGGCAAAAATAAACCTTTCAGGTGTTATATAACCCTCTTTTTCTCTATCCAAATGAAAAAAGTGTCACAAGTCATACTTTAAGTGTAAATCTGTAATTAGCTGGTTTATGTTGGACAATACAGGCAGTATTTGTTTTGCACATAAAAACAAAATGGACAATTGCAATTCAACGTTACAATTTAAACTGTAGTCTTCAAAATAATAAAATATTTTGATTATAGATTATTAACCACTTGCCCTCCAGAGGATTTACCCCTGACCAGGCCATTTTTTGCATTAAGGCACTGCGTTACTTTAACTGACAATTGTGCGTTCATGCAATGCTGCACCAAAATTAAATTTACATCCTTTTTTTCCCACAAATAGAGCTTTCTTTCAGTGGTATTTGATTGTCTGTGCGTTTTTATTATTTGTGCTATAAACAAAAAAGACCGATAATTTTGAGAAAAATACAATATTTTTTACTTTTTGCTATTAAACATGTCCAATAGAAAAATTTGAAAAATCAAATTTCAGCATAAGTTTAGAGCAAAATGTATTCTGCTACATGTATTTGCTACAAATAATCCCAATAAGTGTAAATTAATTGGTTTACATGAAAGTTATAGTGTTTGCAAATGGCAGTATATATACTAGATTTTTTTTTTTACTAGTAATGGTGGCGATCAGTGACTTATAGCGGGACTGCAACAAGCATTCTGACACTGGGGGGAACTGACTTGGTATCACTGACATCCCCAGTGACACCAATACAGTGATCAGTGCTAATAAAAAGCACTGACACTGTACTAATGGCACTGGGCTATATAGAGGTTAATATGTGGGGCAGGGGTGGACTGACAACTCATGGGGCCCCTGGGCAATAGGGGATCATGGGGCCCCTGTATCCTTGCCCAAACTCAAAAAAGCCTAAGGAAAAGGTACCAGGGGCATCTCATGGGGCCGAGTTTCCAAATGGTCAGTCCGCCCCTGATGTGGGGTGATCAAAGGGTTAACTGTGTGCTGTTTCATAGTATGCTGAGTGCTTTCCACTGTAAGAACACTGCTTTGTACGGCTCTGTTATGGAGAGCCATACAAAGCAGTGTGCAGGAGCTGATAGGGGAAAGAACTGTATCATTTACATACAGTTCTTTCCCCCATTGGTAGTACTCGGTGATCACTGAGTGCCAGAGAGAAATCATCAGCCAGGATCTGGTGATTGACAGCTAAGGCCACAAATGGCTTGCGCGTACCCTCTACTCGGGACTGAAAAATCATGTATATATATTGGGACACGGGAACAGGTCCCAGAAGACTACAGGTCCATTCACAAGGCGCAGTGCTACTCACGCATACGCAGTGGGTACCTGGCTGTGAAGCCACAAGCTACCACAGCTGGGTTCCCACACTGATGATGCCGGCCTCCTGGAATACAGGACGGCTGGTGAAATGAGCTGCGGGGGACACACTACGGTACCAAGGGACAGGTAGGTGGCTCTTTTTTAAAAGTCAGCAACTGCAGTTTTTGTAGCTGCTGACTTATTTTTTGCCAGGGTGAGTGGAACTCCGCTTTAATCACTTGCCCTCCAGAGGGTTTACCTCCCTTCCTGACCAGGCCATTTTTTGCGATACGATGCTGAGTTATTTTAACTGACCATGTGTGATCATACAACACAGTACATTCATTACATTTATGTCCTTTTTTCCCCCCAAATAGAGCTTTCTTTTGGAGGTATTTGATCACCTCGGTGTTTTTTTATTTTTTTGGGCTTTAAACAAAAAAAGACTGAAAATTTTGAAAAAAAAAAATTTGCTATAAAACATATCCAGTAAAAAATTTTCAAAATCTAATTTTTTCATAAATTTAGACCAAATTGTATTCTGCTACATGTCTTTGGTAAAAAAAAAAAAATCCCAATACATGTAAATTAATTGGTTTACAGAAAGTTATAACATCTACAACTGAAGGTATATATACTGGAATTTTATTTTTTTTTATACTAGTAATGGCTCAGCGATCAGCGACTTATAGCAGGACTGCGGGACTGCGGCAGGCATTCTGACACTTGGTGGGAACTGACTAAACTGACATCCCAATGACAGTAATACAGTGGTCAGTGCTAATAAAAAGCACTGCCCACTGTACTAATGACACTGGGCAGGAAGGGGTTAACATCTGGGGCAATCAAAGGGTTAACTGTGTACTGTTTATCATAATGTGCTGTGTTTGTTTTACTAGGGAAACATGCTGCTGTATTCTTCTCTGCTGTGCAGAGAAATACACAGCAGCATGTGCTTGCTGGCAGGAGAGAAACCTGTGTTGTTTACACACAGGTCTCTCCCCTGTCAGTTTTACTAGACGATTGCCCGCAGGTAATCTCCGGTCAGTACCCAGTGACTGACAAGCCTAGCCGCCAAGGGAGGCGAAGGTAGGGCGGTGCTTGTCCCCTACCCAGAAATGCAAATCATATATATATATATATATATATGTGACTTTGCTCAGCCGTACTGCCCTGTAGCAGTACTTCTACTGTAGGGCAGCAGGCAAGCGGTTAATGCAGAGAATGCAATAAGGTAAGAAAACTTTTACCTTTGCAACTATTTTAAATGATTGTACTTCATTTTTGTCAATATATTCTTATTCTAATCCACTTAAACCAAAATATCTAACTTTGAAGACTATATTTAGCAATGATTTGCACTTGCAAAGCTCTTCAATGGTATGATTAAAAACACGTTATAATGTCAGTAGAGTGCAGACAATATTGAACACACCAATAAACAGGTCAACTCCCTGGTTGCATTAATATGTGATGAGAAAAAAACAACAATGAAGCAAAACATGGTTCTTTTATCATACTCCCTACCTATAGTGTCTCTCAAGATTCAAAGAAGAATAGCATTTATAATAACTGCTCTTGTTCTCTGAATAAAGAACAGGAATTAAAAATTAGTGAGAACAAATACAAGGCAAAACTCCCTGAGGCTATTTAAAATGAAAATTATGGATGGGGATTTACATTAATACTCACCCCAAACAACTGTTCTGCAGCTGTAGAGCAGTTCATATTTTGGAGCAAATTCATGTTACGTTTAGAAAGAAAAATCAAACAAAAAAAGTTTAAGAACTAGCATTCACCAGTTGTTAAATTTCACATCCAATGAACTAAATTCAAAACAAAATTGCAAAGTGTAAGGCAACAATCTCACATCCAATAAACAAAATTCAAGACAACATTGCAAAGTGTAAGGCAACACACATCAAATGAATGTTTAAAACATTAGGTAAATGGTATTAATAATGGAAGGCTAAAATACCTCTTTGTTATGCCTTCAAAGAGAAACTATAATATTAAATAAACAAAAACTAAATACATAAAAACAACACCGTAATGAAAGTTAAACTGTTAGGGCCAGGGGCGGACTGACCATTTGGAAACTGGTCCCCTGCCCGAGGGCCTGGGGTCAGTAGGGGGCCCCATGAGATGCCCTGGTACCTTTTTCATAGGCTTTTTTGAGTTTGGGCAAGGACACAGGGGCCCCATGATCCCCTATTGTCTGGGGGCCCTATGAGTTGTCATTCCGCCCCTGGTTAGGGTCAGTTTACACCTTGAACAGTCCGCACCCCTCTGTAATTCCTGTATATTCTCTCCTGCAGTTTGATATGGCAACCCATTTATTTGAATGTACTGAAAATCACACTGCAGCACACAAAAATGAGTGTATGCACTGCTTATGAAAAAACGGTCTGCACCAAATTACATGCTACTATGGTAAACACACTTTGTTTACAATCTGTGTTTGGGGTGCCGGTAAAAGTGTATTGGCACCAGCAGAAGATTGCAAAGGCAGTGCATTTTATATGCAGTGTGGTAAACATGAACAAAATGTATTTTTTCCTGGGGTGGATTTGCTCTTAGTGTTTATTTCTTTTGTTTAATATTTACACCTTTTTTTCCTTGACTTATATTGTTTTTTTCTTACTAAATGATATCTAAATAATTTTTATAAGTCTCAGAAAAAAAAACATTCTCTCAAGCATTTTATTTTAATTAAAGTATTATTAAAAAAATTTAGAAGCACTCCATATGTTGCCAATATTATTGTCATTTTTTGTAATTTAAAAATAAAATACCCAAACATTTATCTTAGGTACAAACACTATCTCCATTAATCATATTACCTGCATTCATTTGCAAGGATAGGATAGGTTTAAAGTCCATATCTTAGTTGTTTGAGGGAGTTATAGTTAGGCAGTTCCAAGGTCCAATGTAAAAAATTATATCAGGTCTAAGGTGTGTTTGAAAGACTTAGATGCACAGATAAGGTCCCGCTAGATATAATAGGGTTGATTTACCAAAAGCAAAAAAGCTATTCACTCTGCAAAATAATTTTAACTTTGTACAGGAATTCTCCCTTAGCTTGGTGAATTTCATGAAAATTCACTTTGCAAAGCCTACCCAATCACATGCAAGAACAATAAAAACACAGTATTTTTGCTTGCACATAATTGGATGATGGAAGTCAGGAGAGATTTACCTCATTCACTAAGCTAAGGGAAAATTCCCTTGCAAACTGACTTGCCATAAGTGGGTTTTTACACATCACAAGTTCCACTTGAAGTTTAAAATCAGTTGATCACAACTATGTGATTTAGCTTAAAGCCTAATCTATTCAATCCCTTTAAGGATTTAAATGCTTTTCTAATGAATTTAAACCACAAGGGACATGCAAATAAAACAAACCGTACCAATGAAAGGAACATCAATGGAGAATACTAACATAATATATAAATTGAATGAAAATGGCCTAGATCAGTGTTTCTCAACCTTTTCAGTCAAATCACCCTTTAAACATTATGGACAGTCCCGAGGCACCCTTTAAAATTTCAGACAGTCTTAAGGAACCCCATTCTAAAATGTGAAAAACTATTCTAATAATTTTATATAATGCTGCAACATCCACACATGTAGGACACCCAACATTAGAGGTGATTTATTCTTCCAAAGCAAATACACTTTTGCACACTGGTACTGACTAGTATTCCATTGTTTCTCCTCTGCCTCAGTTTTTCTCCATCACTAAGCTAAAGTGACCCGGCACTGATGGGAATGGGCAGGGGAGGGTCAAACTAGGATGCTGTGCAGGCAGCTGACATCCACTTTATCAACTGATGATGTCATTGGTTGTCAGGACGCTGGCGGCTAGAAGGTTGTAATGGTGCACAATGATATGTGGCTTTGTGTAACTAAAAGGCAGGTTTGTTCCACCCACTGGCTTGTATACCAGTTTTGGGCAATTTTTAGATATTTTGCAAAGACACCCCCAAAGAAACCTCAAGGCACCCTGTTTGAGAAAGGCTGACCTAGATTGTATCATCACTCCTTTAACCAGTAACATGACAATAAAAGTATACATCACAAGGTAAGGTAGACAATAGTTGAATTACTTTTTCAGGCCTAATGTGTTAGTATCTGATGAGATGTCTTAATAAAAAATGTACTTAACAGGAAATGAATTTTATTAATAAATATACTTGCTGTCATTCAGGCAGGAAACTGCTTGCAACAGTTCCACCAATGGCCAATGTGCATATAATTATTTCAGTTTGGAGACTTACACCAAAGGCATGTGTGGCTAGTTAACTGATAGAGAGTGCACTGGAAAAAAACAATCTTGATAGAAACTTGTTAAAAGACTAAACTCAAGAAAATACACAAACTTCAAAGTTTAGAATTCATTAACTTCAAAAGTTTATGCATTTCATAAGTGGAGTTACAATGACAAGTGATAATGTCAATGATATAACTGAATTAACTTGTTGCCTAATGTACACTTCTCAAAAAATTAAAGGAACACTTTGAAAACACATCAGATCTCAAGGGGGAAAAATATCATGCTGGATATCTATACTGATACGGCCTGGGTAATATGTTAGGAACATAAAGATGCCCCATCATTTGATGAAAATTAAAATTATCAACCTACAGAGGACTGAATTCAAAGACACCCCGAAAATCAAAGTGAAATAATGATGCAGTAGGCTAGTCCATTTTGCTGAAATTTCATTGCAGCAACTCAAAACGGTACTCAGTAGCTCGTATGGCCCCCACATGCTTGTATGCATGCCTGACAATGTTGGGGCATGCTCCTAATGAGACAACGGATGGTGTCCTGGGGCATTTTCTCCCAGATCTGGACC